CAACGTTCGTGTCCCTGTCCCTCAGAAACGTCCGGTGGGTGGATGGATACTTTATTCGTCTCACTGCAGTAAATGTAGCACATGATCATTTAGACAGTAAAAAAAGACAATTAGATATCAATACACAGAAACAATAATGACCAACAAACAGTCACAGTGGAAAGAATGTCTGAGAAAGTATGGAATTCCGTAGTAACAGCTTGGAAATAAATGCCAAATGCCATATACTGACCCAGTGACACTAAGGGGACCCCCCCAACCCCCCCATGGGCAGGGCAGAGCATAAAGGTCGGCTCAATGCGATACGAAACACTGACAGAGAGCAATTTCACCAAACCTGCGACTCCCTTCAGCTTTTTCCTCCCCAGTCGACACCTACTGTTACGCAAGCCACCCCCAGGGAAGTTTCCTCTCACAGGGCAGCTGGCCCTAGACAGAGGTCAACAGCACGGCAATCTAAATCCACACGGTGAAGATTCAGAAGGACATCAACGAAGGCAGACTTCAGGTGTAACAGACAAAATCAGCGGTCTGACTTTGGCTTGAATTTCAGGAGATGAGGAATTTTAGCCCAGGCAATGAACTCAAAATCAAAGAATCAGTCAGAATCGATGTTCAATATTTCCCTTTAAAACATGTATTTATTACTAAGCATGTACTGAAATACATCTGTCTCATACCACAAAGTTTCCTAATGTACATATTATGCTGCACAGATACAGTATAGCAATGTACAGTAGTGACCGAACAGCTCAACTATTTTATACAATCAGTGAATGTTTTGGCTGTGTTTAAACAGAACATTGATTCTCTATACAAAACTCTTTATGAATTGTGCAAGTACATAATCTTAAAGACTGAAAAAAAAAAAACAATTCTGATATAGCTGTGTAGCCTGATTGAGTGAGTTTGATTATGACCAGTTTACAATAAACAACATTTTAAATTGTAAAAAAATACAACCTTAATAACGAAAATTATTCTGGTAGGTAGCTACTGAACTTACTCCACACTTCAAAATGAGCATTTAGAGATTTTCTAAATAAAACTCCAAAAATCAGTAGTGGTGAGTATATTGTGCAGCAACAATCCACAAAGCTTACAGGAATATGTGCAACAGTACAATACAGTACAGAGCAGTGTGTTTTACTGTTAATTTAACAGGCTGCAGATAAATCATGACTGGCTGCTACGATAATAGATATGCTAAACAGAAGAATGAATTATGGCAAGGAATTGAATACACACTAACCTCTGGCTTAAACAGACAATTACATCCACAGGGAGCATAAGCTACTCACACATGCTGGGACGGCTTAATAACTAATCGCCGGGATATTCTGTGACTGTAGCAGCAGACCCCATGAATCTGCTGACAACTTATGGAACGTCTCTGAGAACCCATGTGAAGACCTTCATTTGACAAAAAACAAGAACTCCATTTTAAATCAACAGGAGCTTGAAATTTCAGGGAACCAAACAAACAGCGACTCCAATGCTCAGCGATACCAACAGTCGTCGCTGGATATCGTTCTTGGCTTTTCACACTGTTTGTCTTTTGGGATCACAGTTGATCCCCTTTGATTCTGTGATTCCCACTGGTAACCGTAACTCATGACCGTCACTCATGTCCAGAAGGAAAATCCATGGTGGCCACTGAGTCACCATTCATCAGGGGATCTCAATATGCCTCGGGTGGGGAATAACAGAGCCGTACGGCGGGGACGACACAGAGGGCGGATGTATAGCTCAAGCTGCTAATTTCAGACGTGATTACGGGTTTAGGGCACCAAAGGACAATAAACACCATTTCTCATCTTAGTCCATCAAGGATGGCAAGCTAGTGGAGGCCACATCCTCCAGTGTTGCATTAATTACTGCGATGGGAACAGGGAGACGCCATCCATCACCCCGCCGTGGACAAACCGCTGAGCACGCACTGTCGGTATCGGCAGGGCAGTTCGAAGAAGTGCCGAGAGACGACGCCAAGGGTGCCGACTCTAATGTCATATGTGTTATATATTTATACTTATATTTTAATTGTTAACTCGTGTCGTACTACGGCTACTTCGAGAGGCTTTGCACACAAGCATTTCACTCACATGTATAGTACCTGTGTACTGGTGACAAGTGACGTCACATTAAGAGTAATTTGATTTGAAATATAGCAGAAGTCTGGGGTTGCAGACCCCTACCCTACAAAATGTAGCATCCCTTTAAGTCGACGCACCCCACACGTGTGGGTTTTAAGTCCCGCGATCTGCATAGCTGCAGCGTGCGTGATTTTTCGGCGGCCGGACTTTGCCGTGATAATGCCCAGAGACAGGAAGGTCTGACATCAGGGCGTGAGCAAACACCTGTACCACGACAGATGAAACGGGAGGGGGCCCAGAGCCCCTGGGCAAGGCAACACCTGTGCCGGGGCCCCGGCATCAAAGGCGACGGCTCGCCTGACCGCGGCGCCAACCACGCGTGTCTGACCGAGGAGCGATGCCACTGGGTCACCCCAGGACATTTAACGAAGCATAACGATGCACTTCTGCGAGCAGACAGAAATCACTGGCTGACAGTCAACATATGTCAGAAGAGGGGGAGAAAAATAAATGGTCGAAAATTACATTTGCGAGAAAGTTATGTACATTAATTAAGCGAACAAGCTTTGTTTTCTAATTCAAAGTCAATAAGAAAAATAGATTTCCACACAGTTACCTTTTTCTGACCTCAGTATCAGCACCTGCCATATATTTTTCTGGCAGTCTACTGTAAGTCAGCATTCAGCTTCTGAAACCATTTCTGCATCCTTTTATCATAAAATCCGTACTAAAATAGTACAGCCCCCCACCCCCACAGCCTTTTCAGCCCATAATGAAGGAAAAGCAGAGCTAGGGGCACATACGGGCCCCCGAGAGGCTCTCCTAGCATCACTTAGGAGGTAACCACCTTCTGAAGCCACCAGCTTCTCCTTCAGCGGCAGCAAGACACAGAGCATTTAAATGGACAGCGTCGTCTATCAGTACATCACCAAGGCCAAACCACCACTCTGCCTGCAGAAAATAGCAGGTAGAGCTTCTTATTCTCAAAGCACTTAACCTTGTACAGCTGGTTATCAATTGCCGGGCATTCACCTAAAGCGCAAACCAATCCACGCCTTTTCATCCAGTTTCACACGGAACATTTATATATTACCATTCATTCTCAAATGCCAAGTTTTTAAACAACGTCGTACCACTGAATAACAAAGCAAAATCTCCCACAATTAATAAGTAAAACAAGCTGATGGGGGCGGGGCTAAAATGCCATAAGATAAAAGCGAATGCCTCGCATGTGCAGTGAGAATGTGAGAAGGTCACTATGCAGCACGGCCATAATGAAACGCTCTCGAGGACCGCCACTCACGCGGCCGGCCGCACTGGATACATTTCGCCTTCCCGGCCAGCTCCGTCACGCCCGCCATTTGGCCGCCGCGTCTGCCAAGCGGTGCTGCTGCCAGGCTCCTGTCGCTGCGAGAATTTGCTGTGGGCGTGAGGTGTGTTCATTTTATTAGACAGGAGGAGGGGAGCCGCCATTATTTCATTATTTATTTCTGTCGAAGGGCCACTCTTTCGTATACGCGCTAGCTTGGCCGCGTTCTGGTTCCGCAGTGTAGTGGTGACCTCTGACCTTCCCTCTGGATTACCACAAATAGTCCCCCCGGTTTGAAACCGAGGCTTTCTGCTTGCTTTATAGTGACAATGCTCAGCTAGTGCACAGTTTCCCAAATGCAACAGATTCCCCTTTTCCTGAGCATGAAAAAATCTATCTCTGAAAGGGTAACGTCTGACAGCATCCGCCAGTGCACCCATTTTCAACAGCTACTTACCCAATTATATATATATATATATATATGTGTGTGTGTGTGTGTGTGTGTGTTTATTTAGCAGATGCTTTTTTCCAAAGCAAAACACAAGGAAGGAGATCTTGAGATCAGAGCATGAGGCTGCCAGAATCTGTCCAACGATGAAACAACTGTTCTACCGGCCCTGGGATTTGAACCCATGACCTTCTGAACATGGGCACAGATCCACTAACCTACTGAGCGACACATCGTCCCCGATTAGGGTGACAGCTGCTAGGAGCCTATCACAGGAGGCACGCAGTGGGGCTCGGGGTGAGGTACGCATTGCTATAAAGGCACCACACACACACACACACACACACACACACACACACACACACACAATCAACACACACAATCAACACACTCAGAGCAATTTAAAATCAGCTGCACTGGGAAACACAAAACCTCCACATAAAGAGCTAGGGCCAAACTCCCAAGAGGTGTAAGGTGACAAAACAAGCCACAGATTCACCCCAATATACTCATAAACATTCGCAAATCTATTTCACGTGAAATGTGCCTCGGGTGATTACTATGACAGCTAGCAATATATACCATTTCAACAATAAATTTTACAGTTATAGTCATAGCTGAGCATGAAAGCAGTGACATATCTGACACCCAGAAGTATATTACCTTGAAAGTAATGTTAAGTAAGGGTACAGGAGCACTGACTACAAACACAGAAGCACAGCATTATAAATGCACCACAAAAGATTTGTGGTCTTCATGGAATGCTGCCCTCTACAGGTCATTCCTAACTGTCCTTAACTCCATTCTTCACTGCCACCACTAATTAATACATGGGTAGAAACTTTATGTACTTCAGTTACAAGCCATACACAATATCAGGTGTACAAATATCAGGTTAATGTAAGCTGATTAGCAAAGATAAGTCAACTTCCCCCTGCCTGAGAGATAGCATTGTCTTTTGAACACAGAGGACTAAAATAGTTTGGTAATGCTATAGGCGCTCCTTTCAACTGGCTGGCCATGCACAACTCTACCCTTGTCTCCACTCCTCTCCAACCATCGGAACTGCACTAGGGTTACACCAATCTGGACTGGAAATGGGCCCAGGCGAGCGGGTCACCGGTCCCATGAGTGCAGCCTCAAAACTCACCTTCAGTAGCTCCTTGTGGAAATCCTGCCCCCCGTTCAAGCCGTCAAGGTTATTGATGAATTCCTGGCACGTCATCTTCTTCCCAATATTCTGCAGGGAAGCAGAAGCGGTTCGGCTTTTTAGCTTCTCAAGATGGCTATGAATCGGGCTCCGAGGCCCCCGTTTAACCCCCCCCAAGACACAGGTGTTTGTGCTGATCAACACTCAAAATGTTCATAATAATTATCTGTACTGGAGTGCCTAATGGAGAGGGAGGGGGCAGGCCTGATCGCTTTCATTCATTAAACCATCTCAGGTGCCAAGATGTGTGCTGACACTCATAATTTCTGACTTCAGTGCCACACGGTTCACCACATATCAGGTTAATTTGTAACCGTCAGCTTTTCTGAGGTGGCTTGTATTTATTTAAGTCAGACGAATGGACATACAAAAATAATATAAAAAACCTCCCTTAACGGTAATCTGTAATGTAATAAGGTGCAAAAATTATATTACTTGGCTTGCTGATAGGCTACCCAATATAATCTGCAGTTTATGGTTATGCATGCTGGAACAGTGCACTGTGCCAGGTTCATTAACACACTGCAGGACGAGCAAATACCTCTAAATGCTAATTCAGGGGACTGTCATTTATGATAATGTAGTATTAGATAATAGCAATAATAATGCTGAAATACTAATAAAACACAGTGTTTCAGACAAGGTGTTCTTGATATTTGACCTTCTGGGAAATTCAGCTGAAAGCCTATTCTGTCCACAGGAGTCTGTAGATGCAGTTAGCTAGTGTATTGTTTTGCCCAATAAAAAGTTTTGTGCCTAAAATTTGTCAAGTTATTCCCACAATATGACGGGAATACTGTTATTCCTATAGAACATATTTTTGCTAATTTTATACATTACACAAATCCTCAAGATTAAATTATGCCGTAAAGCATTTCACATGTACAGTATGACTTGCTGCTAAAATATTTATATATTCACATAATGAAACAAACATTTAGTGTAGTGTTTTAAAAATGGAATGGAGACAGAGCATCCGTTATTATAAGTGCGAAATTGACTGCTTATAATATACCGTACATACACACAGTGTATTAGTCTTGGCGCGCGAGCCAACCGCTCGGCGAACTGCGCATGCGTAGAGGGCGCAGCCGCACGGTAAGCAGTTAGCAAAAGTGGAAGGATGGCTGCACATAATGAAGGCATACAGGCAGACATACAAATCCCATTTAAAGATAAAATGATTTTGCAAAAAAAAAAAAAAAGACCACTACCCTGCAGATCAATAAAATGATCAGCAGATCCTCTTGACATTCTGTAAACAAGAGAATCCATTTCGCCCCAAAGAAATTCCACCTGTCTCAAATGGAATTATAAATTATAATCTGAATTCTCAGACGTGGCATAAAATGACGATAAACATTATTAAGGCGGCAACGAGAAACACTAACACGTGTAATAACAGAATCAGCACGGCTAACATCAAACAGGACGCTACAATATTTAGCTGTTAAAAGCCGGGGGGGATCATGGCTGGGCTCGGCAAACTCGCGTCTGTCCCGGTGACTCAGGCGGTTCTGCCGGTACCGGCTGCGCCCGGAGGCGACCAGAGCCGGCAAACGACTCAGCGCGGTTCATTATGAGCAGCGGCTCCGCGGCGTCCATTGGAATGCCCCATATAAGGCTTTTATGCCGTTTTCATGAAGTTTACTTTTATCGACCTGTAAGATGTTCATGCTAAACTTTAGTACAAATCGCATTTGGACCAATTAAACGGGATTAGCGAAAAAACATCACTAACGACGACGGACTTAGTAAACGAACACAGACGAATGCATGCATTTAAAAACCCTACCTACACTTTTTTTTGCAAAAAAAAAAATTTGCAAAATGTGTCAACTACCGTGCCACTGGTAAGTCGTTATGGATGGAAAAGCACGACGAAGTTAAAGGTAACATTTTACTTGAGAGGGCACAAATAATGTCGTAGTACACTATTACTTAAATGTTTAATCAAAAACTGTGTTACGTATCATAAATCAGTCATAACAATTCATACTAATTCATATAATTGTTCATGATTTGTACTTTAGTAACAGAGTTAATAAGGTACTTGTATTTGTATTCAATAATTTAACAATATATATAACCATTTATTATTATATATTCATTTTCATATATATTTAATACTACATGATTTATTACATATATATTTCTATATATAAATACATTATTTGAAAGACAAAATGTGCTTTATAAATGTTCAAACAGTAGTACACACAGCGGATAAATAGGTGTCAATGTGACGTCTTAAAATGGGTTTACGCTGCACGCACTGGAAAACAAGTCTGAACTTTAATCAAAAAGATGGACACGAGCTGAACTTCAGAAAGCAACAGCAGCACTTGGATTCTGGCAACACTGCGGGCGAGTGCTGATCACAACTCCATTTAAAAATGCATGGACAAGGTGCATACGGGGCACAGTGAGGGCCAAACAAACGTCCCATATCAAACACAGAGTGAAAGGGTACCAAAGCAAGCCCAACTTACCACCTATTGAATAAGTGGGGAATGCAGACGTTACGGGGCGGTGGCAGGGAGGAAGAATTATTGAGATGAGAGTAATTTACAAATATTTAAGTATATGCATCTAATACATACACAACAAAACTGAGTATTTTCCCTAAAAGCTCCCCGATACATTTTATTAATACCTTTTCCAGCTAACAGCAGTTACATGGTTTTCTAAAAGCCCTCATGAATATATCACATATAATTAGGTAGAGGATTGCATTTGGATTAGGGCCAGTGCAACGGTGGATTGTCCCCTACAAGCCGCTGCTCTTATCGGAGTGACTTTAAATGCATCTGCATTCAGCCAGGTTTCATCCAAATCCTTTAATCATGGACAATGCCCTTGTGCAAAATATGCTGCTATAGGAAGTGGAGATCCTCTGGAAGGAATGCCATTTTTATCGATCTTTCCATAAAAAAAAGCACCAAAGCAAATGAAAAGTCATAAAATATAGAAGACAGAAAAGTTCAGTGGAAATTAAAATCTGCCAGACAAAATAAAAACATTAAAAGGAAGCAGTTTTTTTAATATAAAGTTAATTAGCATGACTCCACAATAGTATTAACGGTGGATTTTTATAAGCTCACAGAAGTTTGCTAATCGGGGTACGGGGGGTACAACTTAATAATGCAAAATACAATGGCCTGATTATTGAGGAATGGATGAATACAAATTAATTATTGGGGTATACACATCCCCCCTCTATTTACTTGGTTCCCACACCCTTTATTGAACTGATGAGCGAAACACTGAAGCTCAAAAAAGTGAAGAATATTTCATTTAAGTATGATATTGCTATACACATTTCTAGGAGCTTAAATCAAATGTTAAATCAATTGTGATACCAAACTAGGTTTCCAAAATAGATTTCCCATATTCCATCCTTACATAGCCGAAAAGTTCAATTGTACACAAAATTCGGTTTATAAAATTGACCTTTCCGAAACTGTCAATGTTTGCAGAGAAGTCCCGACATTTGCAGATGCTTCAAGAGTGCATAAAGCTCTGAGGTGACATGGAAGAGGAAGTGAAAAGTTAGGGTTACCTGCAGACAAAGCAGTGAAAAAACATGAAGTTCACAAAGATACTTACATGGCCATGAAGGTCAGTATTCAGCAGCATTAAAGCGCAGGTAAGGCAATGGACCCCATCTGTCAGAGATTAATTTCATAACCCAGTCACTAATCATCCAAAACATTCTTAAAATACTCTCCTACTCTCATACATTAAAGAAGAAATGAGAATCATCATCACAGATTATTAAAGTTCATTAGTGTAAAAGTCTGTCGGAGGTGGAATTTTCCAAAAATAAAATGTCATGGCAGATGAAATAACCACTGAATTAAGGCTTTCAAACACAGCATTGAAATGTGTAAATGAACTCTGGAAGAATTTATGTTCAAGATACATCAAAACTAGCAGGCATTCATACGAGTTGAAAAGTTAATGAAATGTTTCTTTATTGGAAAAATGTATGAAGAATGACTAATCTAATAACCAATGCATCACCTCAGAGAATGTATTACAAACCGGGTCATGGCTAAATAGTTAATCAATAGTAACTTGGATTCACAAATCCAACCAAGGAGTTGAAGTATTATGGTGCAGGTGCCCATGTGCACACATGGCAGGATTCTCCCATTTAAGACTAACAAGATAAATGAAAGGCTTGCAGCATGCATGAGGCATGTGCTTAGCGCTGTGTAAATGCAGTAATGTCTATCATTTGTTTAGCAATAATAAAGGAAGTGTAACAAGGGATAAATGCCCGTATGCGGATTCGAATCTAAATCTCCACACAGATTCAAAGTGAAACATTACTTCCATGGCAACTGTCTTAGCAACGAGACAGTTTTAGCTTTTACCCATTTACTGGTCAGACGGACTTGTTGTTACTAAGACTGTTGCCATGGAGAGACATGGCACTCAGTGCAAAGCACAGCCAGCCTGTGTTACAGCCAAGGTAAGAAAAAAAATGCAGTAACAAAATGCAAGACCATATTGCCTCTTTGTAATGGACTTGCATGTTTCACAAGATAACTGAAGCTTGATGTTAATGGATCTGTATGGCTCCATTTCACGTAACTACCAGAACAAAGGCTGAAGGGTTCTTTACACAACCTAAGCACCTAATCTGTCTTCCACGCCTCAAACATTATGTAGTAAGCGGTGTTACTCTCAGCTGAAGATATTTATTCTACAGCTGGCCTAGTACACATTTCAGCATGCCTACTCATGAGTAGTGTGTGTGTGTGTGTGTGTGTGTGTGTGTGTGTGTGTTAACGGCTGGGAGCAAAGCTGCACCACCAGGCAAGGCCACAGCACACCATCCCACACACCGAAGAACTCCCTGATGGCTGCTAGGGAACAAATGACAAAACGCCATTGCCGTCTGCAGGGACACGGTAAGGGGGGGGACGCAGGAAATGCACATGCTGTGTGTGAAACGCCACAGATATGGTGCCAGACGCAGGTTCATGGGGACGGCACGAGACCGAGGCAGCGGCGGCAGCGGCGGACTGGATACCTTGCGATGAGATGGTGGTGGGATTACACTGATAGTACCTATTGGAGAAGTGGATCAAAACACGCTCTCTCTCCTGGGTTTCACCCATTAGTGCAAAAGCTTTCAAGAAGGATCTGGAAGGTAAAGCAAACATCAGTGTTAATGAGAGTCCTGGCTTCGCGGGTGGGTGTAAAATGAGAGCGCCACCGGGATTGGATGGTGCGTTACAGCCATTACATGGGTGCAAAATGAGAGAGGAACTGGGATCGGATGGATCATCATCCAAAAGACTTGCTTCCTCCTTGGGCCACTGCTTGCTAATGTGACCTGTGCTCCGCACGCAAGGGACAACACAATCCTTTTGCCCCCATCCATCCGTCCATCCACTTTGGCATACCCCTTACCCCAATCGGGGTCATGGGAGAAAAACATGGCATGATGCCCCTTGGACAGATACCCAGTCTAACACCAGGACTGAGAATCTGAACATGTATCTGAAATGACTTCACGATTCGTATCATTTAAGTACGCCGGGCTTTGTGTTCCGTTCCAGATATTCCCTGCCTGAAACACCCACACGCATCTCGTCTCTTGCTTTCTCCCTGGGTTCCTGTCCCTCATAATGACCTTGAAGAGAATTACGACAGAATATGAAAAAGGAAAAAAAGAAAAACCCCAAGCGCCAACACGCTCTCTGAAAGGAATGTAACTCACTTCCAGAACTACGCATTATCAACCGCTGGCTGTAACAGTGACATTTCAGGTCTCTGTGGCCTTTCAGAACCGTGAAGCAAACAGAGAAGCCTCCCGTTTTTGAGAGTATGCAGTTGGCATAGGTTTCCTCCCACAGTCCCAAGACATGAGGTTTAGGTTTATTTTCTACAAAAATACGTTTGTGTATCTGTGTGTGGCCCGTATTTCCTGGGAGAAGCTCAGGCTTCACCTCATTCCCACACTGGCTAAGTGGCTGGGAAAACAGCCAGACCGGTGCGTGGACTGAAGGGTGTTATTTACATAGTCTTAAAAATCTGGTTACTCAGACACCCACATTGTGCCCAGTCTGGATAATATTTTGGAAAGATGCTTCATATGGGCAATGTAATGCAAAATAATTCAAACAAATTAGCAACTGCAATTAAATATGGTGAGCGTGCACATAGAGTTTTCCCCATCAGACCAGGACAGCACAGACTCAGCTGCTGTACAGCTCCCCAACAGGTCGCTTGGGGACATGCACCCTGACCCTAACAGCACACCCCAAACAGAGAGGCAACGTGTCTCTAACGTTTGCGGCAGCAAGCAAGCACAGCTGAAGCCCGCATTAAGGGGCTTCCAGAGACACCCACGCAGCTTGTTTCACAGTAACGGCCCCAAAGGAAGGCAGAGCGAGGTGACCTAGCAAGCGTTCAGGACCTGGGGACATGGATGTACAAATCAGACAGGCAGGGAGTATCTGGAACGGAATCGGGTGCTTGGGCACATGCACAAACGCGAGGGCAGAGTCTCTATATGGACCATTCAGGAGATCCTTTTGACATCGTTCAACATACCTACATCGACGTTATATTTAGAGACAGACACACACACAAAATATATATATATATATATGTATGAGAAAGAGAGCAATCTTTTCTAGAGAGACAGGTCATTTCCTTGGTAGAATCATCCAGTACAGTTGGCACAGTTCAGAAATGCGCAGATACTAACGTAAGCAGATACATCTCTCGCGGGGGGGCGGGGGATGCTGTACCTGAGAGATTGGTCCAAAGTCATCCCTGTAAATTCGAAAAAGGTGAGGTACTCTTCGGCGACCATCTTGCTGAACTCGTTGCTGCAGACACACAGATCACACCTTGTTTAGATTCGGTGCTGCTGATAAGAATAAAATTCTTTCAAAAGGACCCACCACCTGCCACCAATCCTGGTTTGCTCATACAGGGTTGGCTCTGTCCTTGGGGTCAGGGGTCACGCCTTCTAGAGTACTCCATTACGCTCACACATAACAAAAGGGCCATGACTTCTACCCATTTCTTCATTCATCATTGTTCTTTTTTTTTAATCATACAAAAAATATCAGTTTTATATACACCCCCACACGCGTTCACAGCTCCCGATCCAGCCCAACAAATCATGTTCAGCAAAGCAGATCTCTGTCTGGCCTTTACCTCGGCACCTCCGTCTCACTAAAACGAGAGGAGTCTCCGAAGGACGGACTGCGTCACGCGCCACTGACGGCTCGCCAAGGCTGCCTGTCCGCACGTTAACTTGTTGAGTAACGAGGGCTTGTTTCCATTTGAAGAGCTGATCAATCAAATTGATCGGTTTAAGGAATCTGATGGGACAATGGGAATGGCGATGCAATTGTAATACATAGATTTAGTAACGGGACTTTTTAAGTCAACAGATTTACGGCTGATTTCTGAGCTCAGATCACGCCCTTTGGTCTGCAAAGCCCGATGAGGTAACACAACGCAAGAGCGAATTTAATTAACGTCCCATAAATTTCCCATTTACGAAGTGCTTAAATGAGCTTAAATCCCTTCACGGTGCATAAAACACTGATATGATTAACTCCTGGTCCAGCCCGTCTGCTCCAGAATTCAATTCTTGAATTATTTCAGGAGCTGTCAGATTGGACGGGGTGAGCAGGGAGTCAGAAGGAGGACGTGAGGACGGCCTTCCACACAACATAATTGACATAAATGACGTTGCCATAAAAGTTAATTAAAATGCTGCGTGGTGATATATTTTTCTAGTGCTTCTCATAATGCAGTAATAAAAACCACAGTGAAAATCCCAAGGCCAGCAGGAGAGAGTAAACTCAACAATACCAAATAATATCTGAATATGTTTAGTTTATGAATTCTGCTTTTCGGCGCTTGTGAAGGACTGTATATTCATCCCCCTCCCCAACGGAGATATCTAAACATAGAAAACAGTGGGATGTAGCCAAGGTACAGTTAGCTTCTAGTCTGGCGGGGGGGGGGTGGAACCTGTTATTAATTTCAACGCGTTATTCTGCAAACAGGACTGCAATCAAGGCTGACTCGGTGGTGATGCTCCATTTGAGGACATGCTTTGGCTTCTGCTGGAGTCCGCAAAGAGGTGGGAGGGAGCAGGAATAATATTAGAGGAGTGCATTTTGCTTCCCAGTGTGTGAGGGTTTGGTGGGAGGTGAAAGATTTGAGGGGGGGGGGGCAGAGGAGACTAGATATGAGGAAAGGCCAGGAAGGTACCAAGACAATAACGGTGACAGCAAAGCCCAAGGTCAAACGTTCCAAAGCGAGATCTGCACATTGCTGGTTTGGACCTTCTTCTGTCAAGAATACAAGGGGCTTTTTATTTCTGCTCTAAAGAACAAAATAACACAACCACAACAAAAAATAACTGCACAAAAGACATAATAAAGAAAGCCAATCACGGCATGGAGCAGTTATGCTCTTCAGAGTACACTGCATAGCACAATTATGCAAGAAATATGAAATCATACATATTCCACTACAATCCACATCCTCCTTCTGCTATGGAGGAGAGCAGAGAGGGAGGCTGGGTAATCGTGCCATTTCCCTCCGTGAAACATCCTGTGGTCACACACGTCGTTTCCTTAAAACCCGAAAGGTGTAATGCGTTTTGTTTTCTATATAATAAAAGCACCAAAATAAACGCGAGCAAAGTGGTTCTGCTTTGCTGTTCCGTAAAACATTGTGATCAACATCTGTTTCTAAGGATGTCATTTTTTGTTTCTGGGCTTCCAAAACTTTGATGTTTACATTAAATTTTCTTTAAGATTTGAGGTAGAACAACCATCGCACCCAGAACCCTCCAGAACAACTGGGAGCATTACGGACATCTTCTGCATATTGTCTCACTAATCGGGACTCTTCCATGTTCTTGGGACTGCTAACTTCCTTCTAACAGGAATGCAGAAGACGTACATCCAAACCCCCCCCCCCCCAAATAGGGATGGTTCGTCTTCTCTCTCACAGATCCTGGTCTGGGTGCATCTACTGCTTGTAAGCCGATTGTCATGATAAAAACAGGAACCATCATTTATCCAATCATCCACCCCCCTCCCTCCATCCATCCATCCATCCATCCACCCCCCCCCCCCCCCCCCCCCCCCCCCCCCCCCCCCCCCCCCCCCCCCAACAAAGCCACCATACTGGTGTTTCAGAGGCCTCTGGTCTACTTTGTGGATCTACGGGTAGAAAGAAGGAAACACCAGCGAGAACATGGGTGATGAGGCTCTCACTTCTTGCCGAGGTGCTTGGCCACATCGGAGCGCCGGAAGCCCTCCAGGTGGAAGAGGCGGCGTGCCAGGCGTCGGGCTGCGTCCTGGTCGCCGCGGCTGCCGTTGTGGAGTGTGTCGACACTGGCCCGCAGCCCCTCCGTGCTGCCCATGTCCGAATCCCAGTCCGCCAGCATGTCCTTCAGCCCCGCATCGCTGGGAAGGCCGAAGAGGCAAGGGGAACAAACAGAAATGCCATTTAACAAAGGCGAACAACCCAGGCAGTGGCTCTGCATTCTGAGAATTACACAGCCTTATCGAATATCCCAGCATCTTGCCTTAATACTTTATATTACATACTTTGCCCAATACTTTATATCTCAATAAACAAGTCATATCTGGTGGTTGTAAAACCCAACTTCTTTCTGTAGCACTTGACCAGTTGAACAGTGAATCCTGATTAATTTATTTTTTCCCCCAACTCAGCTTGAATTGATGTGCAACGGGATCATGACCAGACACCAAGCTGCCCTCTTGGGCGAGGAAGCTGACGCTGTAATCGCGAGCAGATCTGCATTATCTTAATTTCGCAACCACAGGGGGATGGCGGCCGGTGATGTGCGGTATTTTCGATGAGCGCCTCGCCAATGCTGACAGGAGGGCTGCTATGCAAAGGGGCTGCTTTGGCAGGAACCATGGATTACTCCTAGTGAAGTCATCCTCCCGGCTTTAAAGGGAAAACAACCCAATTCAGTTATTCCAAAAAATGAGATAGAAACTAAATCGACGGAAAGTCATTTGACAGAAGCCTGTTTAATATAGTGTGATACAGGAACGGAAAAGCTTGCTGCTGCCTTCAAAAAGCTTAAAAATAAAATGCTTCGATTATATGATACATGTAACAAATTGCATGCTCAAGTACCTACACCCAAACCAGACCGTTCTTATGGAACCAAAACAGGAAAGCTACATCAGGAGCAGTTATTTCCATTGTGGGGGGGGGGTTAACCTTGTGCAACACTAAGGTCAACTGTAAGGCGCCTTCACGCCATTCAATGGGTCTAACACTAGCCAAGTGAGACAAAGCGAAGCTGAAATCCCACTCAGATTCGCCAGGCATTAGAATGCTTGTGGTTGCTCCAACAGCTGGACTGACCACAAACATTTTGAGTCAGTCTTTTATTTTTTTAAACTAACAGCAGCTTAAAATAAACTGCATAACTGGCTATAACAAGCAGCAAACATCTGCAATGATGTTAGTGGCATTGATTAAACTTTCATTACTTAAAAAAAAATTAAAAATACAAAGAATTATCCCCAGAATGGGTAAAATACGATTATCCTGTATGACTGCAAAATATGGGTTCATGTTTATTAATTGAAATTGTTTCATAACAATGATTCTGTTGCATATTAATTCTGCTACTAGGAAAAGGCTGCAGCTGGACCGAACTGATAGTCGGCCTCTTAGTTATCGAAACTCTGCAACTCCAGACGAGGGAGCCCAGCCAGAGCGAAAACGGGGGGAATGCTCAACAGTTTACTAAACAGTGCAGTATGGGCGGCCCCCATCTCACCACTTAGAACATTGTCTGTCTGCCCGACTTCTCCTGTTAGTTTCATAAATGTGCCCAAAATTGCGCCCTCACTCCCAGCAGCGAAAACGCAGGGTGAAAACCCCGAGAAGGGCGCGCGCTGTCGCTTTGCGTAACCAGGCTCGTGCTGAGCAGGCTTTGTCATTTCCCCCCGCTCCATCACACGGCCGACATGATTATTAGCGCCATATTTTACACGCCAACACGCACACATGGGGAAAGCAAGCCGAGTGACGCGCAGCGTCTGGTGCGAGGGAGCACTGGGCACCATCCCCGCCAGCCTCGAGAGGAGGGGCAGAGGGCGAGCGGCACCTCCAGAGGGCAACCGTGCACGTCGCACGGAAATAAGCCCACGGATCCAGAAACGAACCGCATTCACTAACGTGAGGAGCCCGAAAAACCAGCTGAAAATGTTCTGGCAGCGTGACGCGCGCGAGTTTCACAAACGAATGGGAAGCGGCACAAAGGAATGCGTGGCGGCTTTGTAAACACAAGGAGCCGTAATGCCACATGCGTCCTGTGAAATAACAGAAACCTATTTTAATGCCGCCAGCATCTCGTTATTAAAGCAACTAGCAGACACATATCTGTCAGCCTGTAGTTGGGGCAACTTAGTGACTGCAAAGGGTTGTGCTATAGTGCCACCTGTTGATTGTCCATATAAATAACATAAATACCAGAAATTGAGGCCCACCATGTAAAGCGTCGTTGTCTGCAGAATTTTCTTTGCAGCTTAGAAAAATCCATTAAGAAAAAACCTAGACCAATAACTTTAATTATAGGCATAACATTTTTGAAACTCTTGGTTTATCAGAAATGAAATGCAAAATGCATTACATAAGCATAGCAAACCATATCATGCCAATCATATTTGATAAACTGTCTAGCTAATTTATATTTGCTACGGTTATAGCCAGTGGAGGGAAAAAAACCTACATATTAAAGGGGCCCAACTGAAGAGATATACGGGGGTACAAATAGACCCCAAAAAAAGGGGTTAATTCAGCTGACTGGGCGAGGAGACAGAGTCCGTTTGTACATTATAATGTCTGCCGGGGACATATTACAAAAAAAAAAAACAACGAAACATTTTCAACCCTGAAGCAGCAGAAATCTGATAAGGGTTATCACGGGTTCAGATATGCAGAATTCTTAACTTATTCCACAGGGAAATTCTTCAACATAGAGCAGCAAGGTGGTTAAAGTGCAGACAATCAAACATGTAGTGCAAACACAATGCAAAGTTATGTATTGGTAGCGCTGCAGTATACGAGATCATATACTAACCTTACTACCTGCAGAATACAATAACAAGGAGTAATATTACTCACGACTTAGCCATTTTAGGGGACTGTTCGCCTAACCCCTCCCATTAAACTGGCAGTCCCAGGGATGAAAACTGGGAATGTGTTCCCTGGTCTTTAGCTGTGACATCTTTCTTCTTGTTTTTGCACATAAAATGCAGATTCATGCCAGCATCCCTTCACTGTCAATCAGACATTTTCTGGCACCAACCAGGCTACATACAGAGGCAGTATACATCTATCAAGGTTCCAATACACAATTTTACTGATAATTTCCGACAGGGATCATTTCAAATGGCACTCAGATGTATGCATGTATGATAATGGATGGACGATGTACTGTGGAAGACTCTTCCAAAGGGAAACCCATCCTTTAGGTTAAAAGGGAAGGCAGGCTCTCTTATAACACTGATCTGCTAGGCAGCCAAAATATGAGCTCACACTTCTAAGGAAGAACAGGGAAGTTGATAAGCAAGATTTATTCATTGACATGAACCATATGGGATTTAAAATGCTGAACAGAGTCAGAATATTTCTGCTGTACATTCATGCCATGAGTAATGCACTGGAAGATTAACTCACAGAACAAGATTTAATTTATAAGGCATATATATATATATATATATATATATATATGCGCCTTATAAATTAAATCTTGTTCTGTGAGTTAATCTTAGTGGATATAGATATATATAGATATAGATAGCATACACACATATAATGCAATAATGCATTTCATACATTATTGCAAATTATCACCTATCTCACAGGCATCTTATTCAACGGTGAATAAGAAAGAGGCACTTGCTGATTTGAAGTCAGAGTAAAAACTGAACAGCACAGCAGATAACCTGAATCGCTCTAACAGAGAGCCAGGCATAGGCATATTAACTGCCATAGCACTAGTTCAGGAAGGGGAATGTTGACTAATGTTAATGCAATTCCATCCATCCATCCATCCATCCATCTTCCAACCACTTATTCAGTACAGGGTATGGGGGGGGGGGGCTGGAGCACCCTGGATAAGATATCAGTATAACGCAATGCCCCACACACACAGGAAAAAAAATGCTAAATTTATTTAAATACATATAAAGATTATATATATATATATAATCCTTAGTCCTGGGATTTACAATGTTCCCCACTGTAAGGACCAGCTCCGAATAAGAATGACCAAATAAGCAGAAACTACCAAATGAAAGTTTACTGGTTCACTCAGTTCATAAGTCCATGGAAAGTTACCAGGTTTAAGCCCCCTGGGACAGGCAGCATGTTAGACAGGAGGGGGACGCCACACAAACACAGTGTGGATCCAAACCATCAGTCGTATGGGGCAATGAATGAAGGGGCAGCAACAAGAGCTGGTCACCAAGCATCACAGCTCAAGGTCTTACGACCAGGACAGGCCCACTCTCTCAAGCTAAATATGCTACATCAGGTGCTATGAAGAACTGACATGAAGAGCTGCACCCCAAAAGATAAACCTTTAGGTGAGGGCTTAGTAGGTTAGGCTACTGTGCCTGTTATCGGAAGGTTGCTGGTTCAAATACCAGGGTCAGCAGAGTAATTTTACTAAAGGCCCTGAATCCCCAACTGCTCAATTGTCTAACCCTGCATTCTCGATAGTACGGCAGGTTGGATAATGTCTGTCAAAGAATCTAATGTTAATAACACTAATGATAAAAAAAGGCTCAAAAGACGCAACTAAGTGAGGGAGGGAACAGACTTCACAAGGCTCTAGAGAGGATCAATTAAGATGCTGCTTAGCCTAAGCACAGACTGACCAAAAGACCACTAACCGCTCTGCTAATATCAAGTTCTATTGTCTGCTGACGGGGTCAGGGGAGCATGGTTCGGTCAGGGTGCCTCCGCTACGTAAGCACCTCCTGCGGACTCGTCAGTCATTTGGAGGTGACACTTCTAGTATGAGCGCATGAGCTCCTCTACAGCACCGCATGACCCACTGGGTCTCAGTAGAGGGGGTTGGCTTGGATGGAAGATTCAGGAAAGTCACACCTTGCCTCTGATGCATCCGACATCCGGCCAGGCAGAAGGAGTGAGGTGGACAGTTAGGCCCGGAGCCGCAAATTCCTATAACGGGGATGAGGGGACGCGATTTAGGAAGCGTGCACAGCACTGATGGTGTGAAGATTAGGCTCAGGATGAGGGGCAGTTCTCATAACAAAACCAGAGGATTGAGGGCCACGAGGTCCTTTAAGAACACGAACAGCCGGGGGGAGCAGGACAAGCAACACCAATTTTTACCCGTGACCCTAGACGTGTTTCTCATGCAAAATGCATTTTTTCAAACACA